TCCCTGACAGATCAGTCCTGATCAGAGACAGTGTCAAGGTCAAGGTGACACGCCCGCCCCAACGTACGCAACCAGTCCATGATTTTCTTCTCTGATTTAGCATTTTGGGAGGCCAAGGCATCAACTCTAGTCCCCAAGTCTGTGACAGTGGTACGCAGCCCTGCCATTTCCTGCTCTAAGGCCGCTAACCGAGTAACCCGACCGACCCCAGACGGTCCTGTGGCTTCCGCAATATGCTCATGGTTGGGCGACTCAGCTCCCACTTCCTCCTGCTCATCAGCTCCCTCCTCAGGTGTATCCGAGTCATCACTATTAGCACCTCCAGATGCCGCAGGGTCCTTCCGAATAGTTACCTTATCCGCTCGAAACTCTACCTCTCTCGGCACTTTTCCATCTACGCTCAAGTTCTCCGGCACCCGTGCTGCCCGGCATAGCCTAGTGACTAAGGAAGGGAAGAAGAAACCATACCGCTTCACCGAACAATGAGTGAACATCTCCTCGTGAATAATCTTGGCCACGTCAAAATTATGGCCATTCATGAAACACCAAATCAATACAGCTCGAGGACCATTCACTTCAGTGGTGTTGGAAGACGGGAGCAGACGGTTACTGATGACATACAGCCAACACTTCCCTTCAAAGGTTAGTGACGCCGAATGAAACTTATGCCGATGGGCTTCATAGTAGTCCTCCACCTCTGCTACAGCCGCGGGCAGCCGGTATGCTCTCCGAATGGCCTCAACAGAGGAGTCCACATTCTTCTTGCGCATTGTGCACACACCGTTCACATGTTCTTTAACGTTGGCGTAAAATTCACGCACAACCATCAAATTCGCTTCATCCAGTTCTTTAAAGAAAATATCCAGCCCGCACCGGACCAACTCGTTGTACAAGTTGGGACAATCATATTGGAGAGACCCTATATCAATACCCCTCTCCGGTATGGGCTTCTAGGATGCCTTGTCACCAAACCGGTCCTGAGCTGCGCTGGAGACGAACTTGTAACTATCATACGGACGAGCGGGAGTTGAAGCGCGTGCTATGGAAGAACCAGCTGGGCCGCTGGAGGAAGCACTGGTGGTCCGGCGTTTCTTGAAGGGTGTCATACTACCTAAAATAAAGAACATCAGCAGCGAAACATAAGAGATGTGAACCAAAGGCGGTTACTTAAACTTCATCTGCACAATTGGTCACAATTGACATTAACAACTCACTGTTGCAATTTAACAAACACTTTAGATGCACCATTCACCGGAGTCCCCAATTAACAAAGTGATAAGCCAAACCCAAGCACAATTGCCCCAATGTCAACCACACATGTCAAGAGACACATCTACAACAACCTCAACAAACCCACTAGCATACAAGAGCATGATACAAAAGAAATCTACTAAAGAAAAAAAAAGAAAACTACTACATAACCAAGAACTCAAATATCCCAATAATTGAAACAAGTGATCTTACTTGGTAGAGTTGTAGTTAGGGTAGGTGAGGGGACTATTAGAAGAGAGAAGAGGGTGGAGTGGGTGTGATTTGATCGTGAATGGGGGAGTATGAGGGTTAGGGTTCTTTGGGAAGAAGGGGATGGGTTGTGTGTTTTGATTTGTAAGGGAGGGTTTAGGTGTTAGGCGTGAATAAGATTAAGAGAGAGGTAGGGGATATAAGGTTGGGGGGGGGGGTAATTAGAATATTAAAATTAAAAGAACAAAACAAATAATAAAAAAATTACTTTAACTAAAGTGGCAAGTAGAGCTACGTGCGCGGTCTGAGCGCGGCCGCGCACGTGAGGTAGAATGTTTGGCATTTTGCGCGGTCTGAGTGCGGCCGCGCACGAGGAGGCAAATCTGAGGCAGAATAGTTGGCATTTTGTGCGGTCTGAGCATGGCCGCACACGCTACATCAGTCCTGAGGCAGAATAGTTGGCGTTTTGCGCGGTCTGAGCGCTATCTGAGCGCGGCCGCGCACCTGGGCTTCGAGATTTCTCAATTTTTTTACCTATCCCTTCATCTCCTGATGGACTTATCACTCGACCAAGCTCACATGCACTTGTTAGTACTTACAAAAATAAAAATAACAAATTCTAAATACATTAAAAATCACTACGCATTGGGTTGCCTCCCAACCAACGCCTTAGTTAATATCGTGGCACGACAAATACAACAAATCAATGGGTTGTCTCCCATGAATCACCTGATTTAACGTCGCGCACGACGCAGATAAGCGTATTTAAAGTACGCTCAACTTTGGAGGATCGATCAAATGGGTCACTGACACTTCCTCTGCTTCCTCCATGCCCACATAATGTTTCAACCTATGCCCATTGACTTTAAATGTGCGAGAGTCATTACTCGCAGCAATCTCAACAACACCTGTGGGGTGAATTCCAACCACCCGAAAAGGCCCTGACCATCGTGATTTCAATTTGCCCGGAAACAACCTAAGACGGGAGTTGTATAGAAATACCGTACCTCCAGGTTTAAAATTCCGCTCACTAATATTCCTATCATGAATCATCTTCATTCTCTCCTTGTATAATCTTGTGCTCTCAAAAGCGTGATATCTAAACTCATCAAGCTCGTGCAATTCCGTTACTCTACTTGTTCCTGCCGCTTCACCATCAAGATTCAACTGCCTCAACGCCCACCAAGCTCTATGCTCCAACTATACGAGTAAATGAATGACTTCCCAAACACCAACTTGTATGGTGACATGCCAAATGGAGTTTTGAAAGTGGTTCGATACGCCCAAATAGCATCATCTAACTTCCTTGCCCAATCTGTTCTAGTTGCATTCACAGTTTTAGTCAGCACACTCTTTATTTCTCTATTCGAGACTTCCACTTGCTCACTTGTTTGTGGATGATATGGGGTGGCCACCTTGTGGCGTACATCATACTTCTCCAATAACTTTGTAAAGGCTCGATTGCAATAGTGAGTGCCTCCGACACTGATTATTGCCCTTGGGGTGCCAAATCGGGTGAAAATGTTCTTTCTCAGAAAACCAATTAGCCCTTTTGCATCATTTGTAGGGAATGCTGCAGCTTCCACCCATTTGGACACGTAGTCCACAGCGACGAGTATGTACTTATTGCCATATGAGCTGACGAACGGCCCCATGAAGTCGATCCCCCATACATAAAACACTTCTACCTCCTGAATTGGGTTCATGGGCATCTCATGTCTGCGGGAAATGTTCCCGGTTCGTTGGCATTCATCACAGACCTTTATCCATAGATGTGCATCTTTGAACAGTGTTGGCCAGTAGAACCCCGACGCCAAGACTTTCGCAGTTGTCCTTACTCCCCCGAAGTGCCCACCATATGGTGATGCGTGACATGCCTGCAAAATAGAGAACTGGTCTATCTCGGGGATACATCTCCGGATCATGTTATCAACACAAATCCTGAACAGATAAGGTTCATCACAATAATACATGCGACAATCATAAGGAACAATACCGCTCGCCAGGTAGTTTGCAATGTTTGCATACCATGGCGCTTCCTCGAGAGTCGTGGCTAGTAGTTGTTCATCTAGAAAGGTTTCCAGAATCTCTTCTACCTCAACCTTCTTTTCAGCTCCTTCCATCCTGGAAAACGGTCAGCCATTTGGTTCTCCGTTCCCTTTCGGTCACGGATCTACAAATCAAATTCTTGCAGCAGTAGCACCCATCGAATCAGGCACGGTTTTGACTCCTTCTTTTCAATTAAGTACCTGAGAGTAGCATGGTCAGTATAAACAATTACCTTTGAGCCTATCAGGTAAGACCTGAACTTGTCAAATGCGAACACTACTGCCAGCATCTCCTTCTCGGTCACAATGTAATTTAGCTGGGCTCCACTCAACGTTCTACTTGCGTAGTATATTGGATGCATGATTTTATCTTTTCTCTGCCCAACCACTGCTCCTATAGCATAATCACTCGCATCACACATCAGCTCAAATGGTTGCTCCCAAACGGGGACAACTATGATCGGTGTTGTTACCAGTCTCTTCTTTAATTCCTCAAAAGCTACCGTGCAGTCATCAGAAAACACAAAAGGGTGATCTTTTTCAAGCAATTTACACAAGGGGTTAGCAATTTTGGAAAAATCTTTTATAAATATCCTATAGAAACCGGCGTGCCAAAGAAAACTTTTGATTGCTTTGGCGGAGATGGGTGGTGGAAGCTTTTCTATCACATCAACCTTTGCACGATCCACCTCAATACCTTTACTTGACACTAGGTGCCCCAAGACTATACCTTCCTGTACCATGAAATCGCACTTTTCCCAGTTGAGTACCAGATTAGTCTCGATACACCTTTTCAAAACTCGCCTCAAGTTCACAAGGCAATCATCGAATGAATTCCCCACCACTGAGAAGTTATCCATGAAAACCTCCGTTATCTCCTCTACCATATCTATGAAGATGTCCATCATGCACCTTTGCAATGTGGCGGGTGCGTTTCATAGGCCAAAGGGCATTCACCAAAAAGCATAGATTCCATAAGGGCAGGTGAACGACGTTTTCTCTCTATCCTCTGGGGCAATAGAAATATGATTATACCCCCGAGTACCCATCCAGGAAGCAAAAGTGAGACCTCCCTGCCAGTCTATCTAGCATCTGATCAATGAACGGCAATGGGAAATGGTCCTTCCAGGTAGCCAAGTTCAACTTTCTGTAATCCATACAGATTCTCCAACCTGTGACTGTTCGTGTAGAGATCAACTCGTTCTTCTCATTTTTCACTACTGTCATACCTCTTTTTTTCGGTACACACTGCACTGGGCTAACCCAGTTGCTGTCAGAGATGGGGAATATGATTTCCGCATCTAACCATTTAATTACTTCCTTTTTCACCACTTCTTTCATGATAGGGTTCAGCCTTCTTTGATGTTCTCTGGAAGGTTTGTGCCCATCTTCCAACAAAATCTTATGTATACAGAAGGCCAGGCTGAACCCCTTAATCTCTGCAATGGTCCACCCAATTGCAGTCTTGCACTCAGTTAATACCTGCAAAAGCTATTCTGCCTGTACATCTAACAAACTCGATGAGATAATAACAGGTAGAGTAGAGTTAGGTCCTAAGAATGCATACCTGAGATGAGATGGCAGTGGCTTCAGTTGCAACTTTGGTGGCTCTTCTATTGACGGCTTAGCTGGAGGACTTTTTCTTTCCTCCAAGTGCAAAGGCTCAAATTCAAGCTCCCTTTTCCAAAAACCTTGGCCTTCAAGAGCCAGTACCCACTCTGCCAAGTCTTCACCATTAGCTTCGTCTAAGTTCACGAGACAAGCTGCTAGGGGGTCTTTAACGTTCAGTGCTTCATCGTCCTCCTCGAACACTACATCCACCGCATCTATTAGAGAGAAATTGGCAAATTCACTGGGTCTGCGCATAGATTTCTGCACGTTGAATGTTATCTCTTCATCGTTTAATCTCATCTTGAGCTCTCCAGTTTCACAATCAATTAAAGCTCTCCCAGTGGCCAAGAATGGTCTTCCCAAAATTATAGGAATTTCCTCGTCAACCCGACAGTCAAGGATGACAAAATCTGCTGGAACACAAACTTCCCAACCTGCACCAAAACATCATCTAGAATCCCAGAGGGCCTCTTCACTATTCGGTTAGCCAACTGTAATAGGATAGATGTGGGTCTAGCTCTTCCAATGCCTAGCCTTTTGTAGATATCTAGGGGCATAAGGTTTACGCTTGCTCCCAGATCACACAGTCCCTTAGCAAAAGCAAAGTTGCCTATTGTGCAAGGGATTGTGAAACTCCCTGGATCATATAGCTTCTCAGCTATGGGTCTCGTCACAGCAGCACTGCAGGTCTGAGTTAGTGTAACCGTGGCAAAGTCTTGAAAGTCAAACTTGTGGGACATCAGGTCCTTCATCATCTTTGCGTAACCAGGCATATCCTTTAAATCATCAATCAATAGAATGTTTACCTGAATTTGCTTGAACGTCTCCAAAAATTTCTTGTACTGCTCATCTTTCTGATACTTGGCCAATCTCTGTGGGAATGGTGCTGGGGGTCGCTTCTTCCCTGTGATTTGGTTTTTCTCTTGTTTGGGCACTGCTCCTACTGTCGGTTCCGGTGCAGCCTCAGTCTCTTTTACAACCTATTATTCATTGTTGGTGTTCTCTTGCGCATTTTGAACCGTCACCTCAGTTAAACCTGCTGAATCATCTACCTCTATGGGTACTGGCACCAGTGTCTCAGTCGGTCTGCTTTTGCGAGCCGTTTTTTGCTCTAGATCTAAGTCCTTACCATTTCGGAGACTCACTGCCATCAGCTGCTTCGGGCCCTGCCCTTATGTGTTGATTTTGGTGTCTGCAGGTAACGTCCCATGAGGACGATTATTTAAGGCTATAGAAATCTATCCTAACTATATCTCAATATTCTTAATCGCTGACTCATGTGAGTCTACTCTGTCAGCTAGTTTTTCAGTGGACCCAATCACTTGTTGCATCATTCCCTCAAGTTTAGTAAACCCATCTTCATGTCTCATAATCTGTTGTTGTGGAGGTTGTTGATAAGCCTGTTGCTAATTTTGCTGGTTGCTTGTTGCCTTTGCTAAGGCACCATTTGCCCCTATGGTCGCATGGCCCCATAATTGTTGTTGTTATTGTACTGCTGCTGAACTGGTCCGTATTGTTGATTCTGCTGAACCCAATTCTGACCACCTGGTCTCAGTCCCCCGTAGTTGGCCACATAATTCATGTTCTCCTGATATTGTTGACTATCACCTTCCGCACTCCATGAGCAGACATATGGTTAATTAATGCATGATGTACATAGACCCCCATTGGTTGCATCAACTATGTGTACCTGCTGCTTTTGGCCTGATTCTTCAACCTTTTTGGTGAGGATGCTCATTTGTGTCATCAGAGTGGCCATATTTTCATCTATGGAGTTAGCCGGGTCTAGAGCCACTGAGTGAACCACATGAGTGATTGGAGCATTTCTTGTTGTCCATCCTGAGTTTTGTGCCATCTTGTCAAGTAGAATCTTGCTCTCTCTAAATGTTTTACTGAAAAATGCTCCACCTGCTGAAGCATCAAAATTGGCTTTCAAACTATCTGCCAAACCCATGTAAAATCTCTGCCCCAACATCTGCTCCGGAATACCATGATGTGGACATGTAACCAGCAGACCCTTGAATCTCTCCCATGTTTCTTGTAGCGTCTCAGTGGATTTCTGTTTGATGCTCAATATCTCATCAATTTGCTGAGTAGTCTTGTTGGGTGGATGAAATTTGCTCAAATATTGCTTGACTAATTCCTCCCAAGTAGTGATGGAGTTGATGGGGAGTGAACTAAACCAGGTCTAAGCTGCTCCTGTCACTGAGAATGGAAACAACAACAAACGTATTGCTTCTGGTGTCACGTTATGTTGCCTCTGCATGGCACAAATTGACAGGAAGTTCTTTAGATGCTGCTGAGGATCTTCAACGTATGACCCAGAGAACAGTCCCTTGTTTTGCAACAGATGTAGCATGTTATTTGTGATCTGGAATGAATCTGCTTGTATCTGAGGGACTACAATATTAGTTGCTAAGTTGTCAGCGGTGGGTTGTGCCCAGTCATATAGTGTTGCTTTTGGCACAAGAGGTTCCACACCCTGATAATTTGGGCCGTTCATGTTGTTTCTGTTGTTTAGGTTATCGTCTTCCATGTCTGATTCAATGTTTTCGGTTGAGTTCTGTTGTTGTTTGCTTTTCCTGTTTGCACGATTCAATGCCTTGAAGACTTTGTATGTTTTTCTTTACTTTAAAAACAATCGTGATGGACTACTCCATATCTATGGAGTAGTTCTTTTTAGGGTTTGATGGATTTGGTGTATTGATACTTGTTTGTGGATAATTAACTCTAGTTTTTATGTATTGAATCGTTTTTGTCATGCCCCAACCTGGGGAGGCGTGGCTGGCACCCGGTGTCATACTGGCCCGAGAAAACCACTCTGAAACTCATGATTGTCCAATGGAAACTAGAACATACGTAGGCTAACTTTGCTGAACTTATTCTTCCTGTAACTATCATGTGTCAACATGGTCACAACTCATAAGGCATAACTGTAAGTGAGCAAACGTTGTATCAGTGAACCATCGTACTCAAAACATGAATAAACACGGGCCGTCAAGGCCTTTGACATGATGTAATACTGAACTTGTGTCTACAAAGCCTCTAAGAGTATCTAACATAAAAATATAGTCAGGACAGGACACTGACCTACAATATATATATATATATATATATATATATATATATATATATATATATAATATATATATATATATATATATCTTATAACCTCTAGACTCGGCTGTACTCCGGATAAAATGGAGCTTTGCCAATCCTCAACTGGATATCAACTCCGTCTATGATAAGAGCCCGTCAAATTGGATACTTGAACCTGCAGGCATGAATGCAGTGCCCCGATGATGGGACATTAGTACAAAGAAATAGACTAAGTATGTAAGGCAGATAACATATGAATAACTTAATTGAAATTGAACTGACATGTATATATGATATACTAAAAGAAATTTAGAGGGTCAATGAGATCCGAGAATCATACTTACCTTATTATGACCTGTAACATATCTAAGTATCGAATTATCCAACTTACCTTACAAAGGATGTAGACTGAACAGGGAAGGCTCCGTTGGCCTAGAACATCTAATGTCGTATATATATCTAATTTGTGTCATGATATACCTGAACGTGTTCCCATATGCTATATGTACTGGAAACTATCATATTATGGGACTTCATCTATAGCATTCTTCTAAACATCATACCTTATATCTGAATACTTACCTCAGACATATCACATATCTAGGGCTACACAAAAACATAAAAGTGGCACTTACGCGTTTCATAAGAGACCGTCTGTAAGGCTCACTCATAAATATGAATAACCAGTGGCTCGTACGTGTAACATAGTAGACCGTCTGTACAATTCACAATAATGAGGTCTGACTATGCGTAAAACTGAGACTGTCCATAACCAACCTTCATTATGCACCTATGCGTTCATACACCGTCCATAACCAACCATCATTATGCATATATGCGTTCATAGACCGTCCATAGGGATTCATTGTATACCTACGCGTTCATAGACCGTCCGTAGGAATCATGTCTTATACATACTTATTCCATATCACTCATGCATACATTATTCAATCATTACTAGATAAACTTTTATTTATAAACATATAAGTGCGTGAGTAACTCATTACAGTAACCAATCCTTATTTTTCATAGCCGCTTGTTACGTCATCCTTCGTATTCTATATTATTTAGCCGTAAAGAACGCGGTAACTATTTCGGGATTGCACTTTTATCCTTATTTCACATCACGACTCGTTTCTTGGGATTACATGGTTCTGTCTACTAATAGCTATGTAATATGCTTAGCTTGTGAGGCTACTCGTTAAACATATATATATATATATATATATATATATATCCATTCATCAATACGTAACAAGAGTTACGTGATTTACGCTCTATCAACTCATATTCTTATTGCTAAGCTTATCATATTCTGTAGTTTACGACTCCTTAGGTAACATATATCGTCTATTAACATCACGCTCATATATAATCAACCTTACTTAACTTGAGAGCAACATAACTACCTTCGTGGGTCTTTATCACTTTCGTGAACACAAATGTGTAAGTATTGGAAGTTGTGACATTCTTTAGGTCGAAACATTCTTATCATTCTGCAACTATACATTATGTTAACTAGTTGAACTATTCGTATATAACTATTCCTTATTATACGGACACTATATTGCTTCTTATTTATCAGAACATTCGTACGTAATGTTTAACTTACCTCTAGACGTCTTGTTATATATAAAAGACAAGGAACTTTTGGAAGGCTCTATTTACTCCTTAAGAATACATGAAACTGTGATCAACACAATCCATTTCAACAATCGTATGACTATACTCGTGAACAGACCTTAATCGTCGGTATAGTATGTATACAAAGCCTCGTCCTATTGAATTCCTTATAAGGGCAACATTACTTACGGAATCATCCCAAAGAAAATAAAGGAAGACCTTACATACCTCAAAATATCCCGTCCAATCCTCAAGCTATTTTAACTTGCAGCTCTTGTGTCTACAAGCAATGAATTATACTTTCGTCCCAATACGAATGCCATAACTTATCACATTTGAACGACACACATTATTCTACGATAAAATGGACAACACCTCCCTTGTTTATATGACCACAAGTTACAACAACCAACAACAGCCCAAACAACATCAAAAATACTCATAATAAGCCTTTCAAAATAGTTTAACTATCTTGACGAGCGGCAAGCTCGGGTTGTGACTAAACAACTATAGTTTTAAACCCCTCTTCCTTTCCAGAATTTATCAATAATATTAACCGCCACATATTCAACTATCCCTACTAATTTACAGCCACAATACAACTTTAAAACGACCCCATAATAGCCCCCACAAGTTCAGCAACTCAAAACTTATTTTTTCAGATTACTAAAACACGTTTCCGACTTGTCTTTTTTTTTTTTCAAATCGAGAAACACAACCAACAGTACATAATTAATTCTCTTCTCATATAAAACAGCCATGAACTCAACTTAAAATTAACTTTGCAACCAGCCAATAGTGACGTCACAACAAACGACATACTACTCTTTCGATCGAGCTACAACATGTAGAAGTTTTCAAAAGGGAAAGAGAAGCACAAACTTACCTTCGGCTGAGTAGAACTCACGAAACCTGGTCCATATTAATCCAAAATTAGTCCCACAGCGCAGCTATAAGAAGGAGAAAGGAAAACTAGCAAGTTGTGCGGAAATTTTGGCACTAAAATCACTTCGTATTACCCGTAATCACCTAGGGTTTGTGTGGTATTTTTGGGGGAGGAGTTGCTGGGGTTCAATCTGATGTTCTTGGTATGAGAAATGATTGAAATAAATTAGTTAATTCACCCCTTAAAAGGCCCCTTGGCCGCCCCTTGACACACCTGCTTGTCACCTAGCAGTTTGTGCAGTCTTGCGAAAATGCGAATATCTCTCTACTTTGACATCGTACTGACAAATGGTTTAATGCGTTAGAAACTAGACTCGTAGATATTCAATTTGGTAGATGGATAATCCTGTAATTCAATTATATTGGGAGAAAATCTCACATATATTTGACTTAATGTTCACCACATTTAAGAATGTAACTTGTGATGACCTTTTGTTTCACAACTCGCTTGACTTCAAAACATAATACACGATTATCATACGAC